AAGTCCTGGGACTGGGCCGTGGACCATATCTCAAGGCCTGGCCTCGCGTCAGCACTGACAACTCTGTCTGGGGCATAGTTTATCGCCTCTTTGGAATGGGAGTAATCTTATTTTGCCTATTATTTAAGCAAGCAAACGTTTACAGAAGCCAGAATAGCAGGGTTAAATTTTAAACAGCAGTTTTTACCCAAGATGGAGGTCACTATGCTTCACCGTGTCCCCTTGCTCCCAGCCAGGGCTCAGATCTACAGCAAAACCACAGTACAGTCAGCTGGAAAAACCAAGTGCAGAAGTGCCGCTGACCAGGGAGCACGGAAGGAGCCGCGTGGAGACCTACAGGAGGACTGCAGTTGTGGAAAGGGAGGAACCCTCCGCTCCTCGCCCCTCGCCCAGCATGTGTGGCCGCTGAGAAGCAGGAGGGACATCATGGCTGCAAAGCTCCTTCCCTGTGTGTCTCAGCCCCACACAGGGTCCCACACGCAGAGAAGCAGAGATGGGAGGGCCCGCGTAGCACTGGGCACAGGGAACTGGGGGGTGCGGAGTGGGGTTCTGTCTGCCTGGGAGCCTCGGTCTGCACCTTCCCAGGGGGAAAGCTCCCTGTCAGCGGCCCAGCTGAGAACTTGGCTCCAGGCTCTGATGCTGGAGGGGCTTCGCTGCCATGATTCCGTCTGGAGGAGGAGTCTGCGGGCTGCACCCAGCAGCGGCTTTGAGGGACCCTCTACTTTTTTGAAAGGCATGTGCAGAGCCCATCAGTGACCAACCTGTGTGGCTGGGAAAAGGGCATAGTGTCTCCTGTTGCAAACCCACCCCCACTGCGGGGCCTCAGGGCCTCACGTCCCGCGGGGCCGGCAGCAGGGGGAGCGGATGTGAGGCCTGCACTGCGGACTTCAGCACCCGAGCAGAGCCTGGGATCTTGGCCGAGACCAGCTGGTGGAGACATTGGCGTCCGACTGGGGGCTGGTGGTGCGGGGGCCCTTGTGCCACACAGAGCCTGGGCATATGGACTGCACCCCCTGTGGAGGCTCCTGTCGGGGACACAGACGGTGAGTGCTGAGCACTGTGGGGCGGCTGATTCAAGCTCCTGTTGTGAGAATAAACAATCCATCTTTTCCGTCCAAGAGCAGTTTAGACAGCCGCCCTGTTGGCCGCGTGACTTGCAGCTCCCCATCTTGAAACAGCGAAGGCCAACCCCGCCCTTTGAATTAGCCATCGTGAAAGACTGTGGACCTGAACCCGATCAAGAGTGAGAGACAGGTCACGTGGGTCAGGATTAAAAAGCCGAGCAGACTGCCTGCTGGGTGTGCGGGCACACCCTTCTGCACAGGAGGAGAGACATCTGCTCCTGAATTTGGGGGCTCGTCTGTCTTCTTACTCTGTGAGTTCTGCAGGCATCCTTGGGAAGGAGAGGTAGACCATGTATGCCCCACCCCTCAAGGCTGCAGGCATCCCCCACTCCCAAGAGACTGTTTTGCTTCAGTTCTATGAAGTCCAGGAGAGCCCCACTGGGTGCAGTTCTGTGGGGGACAGGAGAGCAGCTCAGAGGGGGACAGTTAACGTGAGAGACCCACAGAGGCTATTGTTTGGGACCAGGAGGAAGTGCTTATGCCCCTCGTGTAGGCGGGGCCGGCAATATCCTCAATCCGGGAGTCTTGATTTATCCCCCTGAGCCTGCTCCCTCAGAGGAGACTGCGGGCTGTACTCAACCTGAACCTGCAGCAGCCCTCCGGGGAACTAGAGTTGGAGCCTCTGGTAGAGGCTGAGGAGTTCGGCTTTGAAGCAGAGACTAACTTCCCCCTATTGAGTGCCAGCTGCCTCATCTCCAAGCAGGGGGCCCACCTGCCCGAGTTAGCCTCCCTGTGCTCATCCTACAGGCTCTCTTCAAAGACTGAGGGAGGACCAGGCAACCTCAGGAGGAGGAGGAGGTAGCAGGTGGAGGCAGACTTTAGAGAGCCCTGGTCTGAACACAGATCTCAAAGCTAAAAGAAGCTGACCCATTTACACAGATTGGTCCCTCCCATGCACACACAGGTCTGGTAGATGCAGAGACTAACAGTGAACAGAGTGATAACTACACAAAGACAGACCAAGGCCTGTTATACATGACATCTGCATCTGAAACCCACCCAAAAGGACCCAGGACCAACACAGCAAGTGGTGGGCCTCAGACCACTCCAGAGCTCAACCCAATTAGATACACAAATAGCACACCCAAAAGTGGATCCCAGCAGGTGCCAGACCCTGCTGGGATCATCCCTGTTTTTTGGGGAAGCCCCTGCACAGTGTCTCATTCATGGTGATAAAACTTTACCTCTATAGACACCCAGCCCGAAGAGTTACTGATTGTGCCACTGAGCCCATAAGACACCTCGAGACTACCTGTATAACAGGTTTGCACACCATTTATTATTGCAACAAAAAATGTGCTTAGGAATAAATTTAACCAAGGAGGTAAAAGACCTATACTCAGGAAATAATAGGACATTAAAGAAAGAAATTCAGAAAGATACAAATAAGTGGAAGCATACACTATGTTCATAGAAAGAATTAACATCATTATTAAATGTCCATATTACCCAAAGCAATCTATAGATTCAATGCAATCCCTATTAAAATACCAACAGCATATTTCACAGATCTAGAAGCAATTCCAAAATTTTATATGGAACTAAAAAGGACTCCAAAAAGCCTTGGCAATCTTGAAAAAGAACAAAGTTGGAGGGATCACAATATCGGATATCAAACTATACTATAAAGTCATTGTAATCAAAACAGCATGGTACTGGCATAAGAACAGGCATATAGATCAATGGAACAGAGACCCCACAAATTAATCCACACTTTTATGGTCAATAAATATTTGACAAAGGAGGCAAGAGCATAGAATGGAGTAAAGACAGTCTCTTCAGTAAATGGTGTTGGGAAAATTGGACAGGTAGATGCAGAAAAATGAAATGTGGTGGAAAGATACTGACTTTGGCTGGTGAACACACAATATAATATACATATACTGTATTATAGAATTGTACACTTGAAATCTATATAATTTTATTAACTGTTCTAATAAATTCATTAAACATTTTTTAAATAAAATAAAAGTAGTGGGAAAAGGTATATTTAAGTAATCCAAAGACAGGATTAAAGGAGGAACACAGGAATAGAAATAGAGTGGATAAGCAAAAAATGAATTATAGGCTTGAATAATCTCAAAATTAATATGCTGAGTGAAAGAAGTCAGTCACAAAATAGTGCCTATTGGATGATTCCATTTGTATGAAATTCTAGAAAATGAAACCTAATATGTAATGACAAAAAATAGATCAGTGGTTGTCAGGGACTAGAAGGGGGGCAGCGATGGACAACAGAATGGCATGGGGAAACTTTGGGGCAATGAAATGTTCTGTGTTGGTTTTCGTGGTGGTTCCATGGGTATGCACATTTGCCAAAACATATTCTAAATGGATGCAGTTTTTTGTAGATGATTTTTATCTCACTAATGTTGTTTTTAAAACAAAAAAGATGGTGTTGGGAAAATTGGACAGATACATCCAAAAAATGAAACTAGACCACCTTCTTACACCAATACTAGAATAAACTCAAAATGGAGTAAAGACGTAATGAAACCATAAAGCTCATAGAAGAAAACATAGGCAATAAACCCTGTGACATCACTCTAAATAATATTTATTTGGATATATCTTCCTCAGTTAAGGAAAACAAATGATAGATAAACCAACTGGATTCCAGCAAACTAAAAAGTTTCTGTGCAGGAAAGGAAATCATCAACAATACGAAAAGGCCATCTACTGAATGGGAGAAGATATTCACCAATGGGACATCCAATGAAGGGTTAATATCCAAACACCGAAACCGGTTTGGCTCAGCGGTAGAGTGTCAGTCTGCAGACTGAAAGGTCCCAGGTTCGATTCCAGTCAGGGGCATGTACGTTGGTTGTGGGCACATCCCTGGTAGGGGGTGTGCAAGAGGCAGCTGGTCAATGTTTCTCTCTCATCGACGTTTCTAGCTCTCTATCTCTCTCCTTTCCTCTCTGTAGAAAATCAATAAAATATATTTAAAAAAAGAAAGAAAGAAAGGTGTTCAATTTAACACACACACACACACACACACACACAAATCCCTATTAAAAGTGGGCAGAGGATATGAATAGACATTTCTCCAAAGAGTACATCAGATGACCAATAGACATGTTAAATAATGGTCAACATGCTAATCATCAGAGAAATGCAAATTAAAACCTCACACCTTTCAGAAAGGGTATCATCAATAAACTAACAAATGAGAGTTGGTGAAAATGTGGAGAAAATGAAATCTGTAGGTGGGATTGTAAATTGGTGCAGCCCTTATGCAAAATAGTGTGACAATTCCAAAAAATAAAAGTAAAAACTAGAAGAACACATGACCCAGCAATCTCACTTCTGGATATCATCAAGTACACTCAGTGGAGCTGACAGATTGGAAAGTGAAAATTTCCAAATGACATGAATAGGCAATTCTTTGAAGAAGTTTGACTGTAAGAGGAGAAGACAGTTGAAGCAACAGTAATGAGAAAAGTTAGTTTCCTTCAGATATGCCTGTCCCAAGGGACTAAACATTGTTATTTATAGTTGTCTATTTTAAAGTAATCACATGATTACTACATACAGATACTAAATCAGAGTAAACGCATGAACAAAAAAAAAGATGCATTTAACACCAACCAATATTCCAAATAGCTCTATCTTAAAAATAACAATATAGAAATTAAAATGCATAGGGTTTTGATTAATTGCTTCCTATAGAAGTGTACAAAGTGTTGCTTGAAAGAAATGATGTATAGATACTATTATACTATAATACAAAGAAAAATAAAATCAGGTGTGTGAGACAAAAAATGAAGGGCTAAGACATTTCTGAGTCCTGATGGAGTATCAGAATCTCAGCTAATTTGGATGTTTAACTTTCAGCTTCCCGAGTAAAATAAACATTGTGAAGCAATGACTTACTTTCCTGCTCTTGACCTCGATTTTCTTTCTCAAGTGCAGTCATTTCCTGCCTATAAGAGAAAGAGAGAGTGTGAGACACTGCAGTTTTCCAAAGCTGCAATTGTACTTGAAAGAAGTCTTTCATTGCTCTTAACCCAAGGCCATTGCTAGATTGACAATTTAAGTTAAATAAAATTGAAATCCTGCTTACCCTGTTTCTTAAAAATATGTTTTTGTTCAGCTTTTTGAAAGAGAGAGAAAGAGAGAGATGGAAACATCAATGCGAGAGCAACATGGATTGGCTCTCTCATTGATGCCCCCTCCTGGAGGAAGAGCCCACAGTCCAGACATGAGTCCTGACCTGAAGTGGAACTGGCAACCTCTTGGTGCAGGGGAGGATACCAACCAACTGAGCCACACCGGCTAGGCATACTTACCCTGTTTTGCTTTTTCTTTCTGAAAAAAACAACAACATGAAATATAGCTGATAACACGGTATTGTGTAATATAAATTAGCTGAGAGTAGAATTTAAATGCTCTCACCAAAACAAACAAAAAACGAAAAAATGATAAATATGTGAAGTGGTGAATGTGTTAATTAACTCAATGAAGGGGATCTTTTACAATATGTACATATATCAAATCACAATGTACACTTTAAATATATTTTTATTTTTTTGGTTGGGTAAGTACTTGTAGTTCTTTTCTAGTTATTTGGTCTGCCACAGTGATATATATATACACATTTTAGGGCCCAGTGAACAAATTCGTGTACTTTGAAAGGGATTGTGGGCCACAAGGTTGCAGTGGGCACAGGGTGGGTCTCCGCCCATCATCCAAGTCCCTGCCCAGCCCCTCCTGCCATGGCCCCTAGTCCCTTGTCTGCCAGCAGCCCTGCTCCGGCCACAGCTTTCACACACTGATGGCACAGAGCAATTGAGGCAGGTACCAGCAATGGGTACAAGCGGCAGCTGCTGCCCTGATCGCCCCTCAGAAGTAGGGGGAAGTGGAGAAGCCCTCAGGGGTGATCGGAGCCCGCAGCGGGCGCGAGGGCTGGCAGTGGATATGAGCAGCAGCGCCTCCTGGCAGCAGGTGCAAGCAGACCAGCACCAGCAGCAGGTGCGAGGGCCAGGCAGGACCATGGCACATGGGAGCAAAGAATTTTCAGTAATCATCAAATGCTCGCCCTAATGACAGTGACCGGTCCCCTGCCTTGGTATGGTGCCCTCGATCACCTGCTCCATCATCCTTCCTTGGCTGACACCCACCATATTTTGTGTTTGACCCCTGGTGGTCAGCGCACATCATAGCAACCAGTTGTTTGGTTGTTCCGCCATTTGGTCTATTTGCATGTTAGCCTTTTATTATATAGGATTTTTTTTTAATTGAAAATTTTAATGTTGAGATTGCAGAATGGTTGTGGAATAAATAGAAGCCACACTGACATGTTCCCAGGACCAAACTGAAGTTACAATTAAATACAGAAAAGCCATCCTGAATGACCAACTGAAGACTAGCTGGAGAGAACCCTGATAACCAAGAACAAAAAGTAGAGACTGAATACAGATAGTAGGAAGTGTGGAGGCATGAAGGGCCATCTGAGCTCCCACAGACAGCAGCTGAAGTTCCAGAGGGACATCTCAGCTATGGGGGGTTGCCACTGAGACTCTGGGATTTAAACCCAACGCTGGACTCCCCAACCCAGAGCACCAGAACTGAGAAAGGTGCCCACATATAATCGGGCTGTGAAAAGCAGCAGAGTGCTATCTGCCAGGGAGAGATGGTTGGAATGCAAACACCCTCTTACAGGGCCAATCACAAAGTTTTGTGTGCAGCCACGCACCTTGAGCTCCAGCAGAGGGAAGACTGAGTGGACTGGATCTGTGTGAGCGGAAGTCAGAGCTGGGGACTCAGGGCTTAAGAGCTTAGAGGGCAGAAACCCGTTTCCTGTGCTGAGTCATTCCCACGTACTGCAGAGGACATCTTCCTACAGCAGATCTTTACCATCTAGGCCAGTGGTCAGAAGACTATGGCTTGCAAGCCTCACGTGGCTCTGTTGACTAATGAGTTGCTGACCACTGGCATAGGGGCTTAATCACAAGGAACAACAGCATGTAATTATTGGAATCAAGAGTCTAGGTCAGTGGTCGGCAAACGCATTAGTCAACAGAGTGGCAAACCGTGGCTCGTGAGCTGCAGTTTGCGGACCATTGATCTAGGCAGCTTTTGCCTGGGGGGAGAAGAATTGCCTCACCCTGTTGGAAAAACCTCTCATTGCACCTGTAATCCATAGCCTAAGGCTAATCAAGACTGAATAACAGTCAGACTGTAGGCAGAGGCAGATCTCTGGAGGCTTTAAGTCTTCTCTCCAATCTAATTTGGAGCCCTGGGCTAGGAAAAGCAGACCCTGGTGCACATCTTGGTTCTTTCCAAAGGCACCCAGCCCCAGCAGAGGGAGCCACAAGCTGTAGATTGCTGAGAGCCCCAAACAGGGTACTCTGACATAGTCCTGCATTAGAGGAGTCATAGAAGATCTAACTAATACATAGACACAAACCCAAACAGGCAACCAAACAGGGGAGATTAAAAAACAAGCCCCAAATGAAAGAACAAGAGAATTCTCCAGAAGAAGAACTAAATGAAATGGAGATAAGAAATTTATCAGATATAACATTCAGAATAACGATGGCAAGGATGGTCAATATTGTGAGAAAAGATATAGTAACTATGAAAAAAGACCAGTTAGAAATAAAGAATGGCACAGTATTAATACAGAACAAATTGCAAGGAATACACCACAGATTAGGGGAAGCTGAGGATCAGATCAGTTAATTAGAAGTCAGAGTAAGAAAATATCACTCAATCAGAGAACCAAAAAGAAAAAAACAACAACTAAAAAACATGAGGACAGCTTAAGGGAGCTGTAGGACACATAAAACATAACAATATTTACACAATAGGTCTGACTGAAGGAGAAGAAAGTGAGCAAGGGATAGAGAAGATGTTTGAAGAAATAATAGCAGAAAACTCCCCTAATCTAGTGAAGGAAAAAGCCACGCAAGTTCAGGAGTCATGGAGAACTCCAATCAAGAAGATCCCAGATAGGTCCATGCACAGACACATCATAATTAAAATGCCAACAATTAAAGACAAAGAGAGAATATTAAAGGCATCAAGAGAAAAGCAAACTGTTATCTATAAAGGCTGTCAGTTGATTTCTCATCAGAAGCTCTATAGAGCTGAAGGGAATGCCATGAAGTATTCAAGGATCTGAAACTAAATTACTATGTCCAGCAAGTTATTATTAAAAATAGATGGTGAAATAAAGAGCTTCCCAGACCCCCAAAAAAAAACATGGCTAAAGGATTTTATCACCACCAAATCAGCACTGCAAGAAATGCTAAAGGGACTGCTGTAATGAGGAAGGAGGAGGAGGAGGAGGAAGAGGAGGAGGAGGAGGAGGAGGAGGAGGAGGAGGAGGAGGAGAAGAAGAAGAAGAAGAAGAAGAAGAAGAAGAAGAAGAAGAAGAAGAAGAAGAAGAAGAAGAAGAAGAAGGAAAGAGAGAGACAGAGAGAGAGAAGAGAGAGAGAGAGAGAGAGAGAGAGAGAGAGAGAGAGAGAGAAGGAACATAGACATAGAGAATTACTAGTAAAATGACAATAAATAAATACCTGTCCATAATAACCTTAAATGTAAATGGATTAAATGCTCCAATCAAAAGACATAGAGTAGCTGAATGGATACAAAAACATGACCCAACTAAATGTTGTTTACAAGAGACCCACCTCAGAACAAAAGACACAGAATGAAAATGAAGGAATACGAGGATCCTCATAGCCAATTGGCTTGGAGATCAACGCTTCCCAGTGATACCAACAACAAGCAAGGCTTAACAACAACACTGCACACACAGTCCACAAAGGGCTACACCAAGACTGTCCAACTCAGGTAACTGGGAGGCTGACTTGCTGAACCATATAGGACACCTTAGCACACAAAGCTACCCTACCAACTCAGGGAAGCTGTGAAAATGCTAAGACAAGGAAATAGATACAAACAAAAGAAATGGAGGAAAAGAAGAGACTGGATATAGAATTCAAATGTACGCTTATAAGGTTTTTCAAGAATTTCTAGAAAAGGTCGATAAGACCTATGAGGAGATGAAAAGGGATCAATAAGAAATAATAAGGGATCAACAAGAAATAATAAGGGATCAACAAGAAATAAAAAATACATTGTCTGAAATAAAAAATATTATACAGAGTTCTAAAAACAGAATGGAAAATCGCATGAATCAAGTCAAAGATTTGGAACATAAAGAGCCAGAAGACACTCCTCCACAGAAGCAAGAAGACAAGAGAATCCAGAAAGTTGAAGATAATGTAAGAAACCTCTGGGATAACTTCAAGCGAACCAACATCAGAACTATGGGGTCCCAGAAGATGAGAGAGAGCAAGATATAGAAAACATACTGAAAGAAATAGTGACAGAAAACTTCCCCCACCTACTGAAAGAATTAGACTTACAAGTCCAGGAAGCACACAGAATTCCAAACAAAAGGAATCCAAAGAAGACCACACCAAAACATATCATAATTGAAATTCCAAGAGCAAAAGACAAAAAGAGAATATTAAAAGAAGCAAGAGCAAAGCAGGTAGTTACCTATAAAGGAGCACCCATACGATTGTCAGCTGATTTCTGAACAGAAATCATGCAGGCCAGATGAGAATGGCAAGAAATATTCAAGGTGATGAATAGTAAGAACCTACAGCGAAAAATAATCTACCCAGCAAAGCTATCACTCAAAATTGAAGGCCAGATAAAGAGCTTCACCAATTAAAAAAAGCTAAAGGAGTTCATCACCACCAAACCAGAATTATATGAATTGCTGAAGGGGGTTCTTTTGGAAGGGAAAGTAAATAAAGATAAAAACTATGAACAACAAATACGTAACTATCAACAAGTGAATCTAAAAACCAAGGGAATTTGAAAAAAATCTGATAAACAATATTAACTGGTGAATATAATAGAATCAGAGGTATGGAAGGGGAGTGAACTGATGATTCTTGGG